GTTGGGTACGTTAAACAGTTGCAGACTGTTATGCAGCACTGTCTGTTGTCGATTGGGTGTGGCGGTGTTTTGAACACTTTCGAACAGTGTTAGTTAATTGCTTAAAGTTCAGTACATTTCCATAAAAACTTTGCACTTTGCACCTGCAGCAAGAAAGTGTGAAATGCTGCAGCTGACAACTCCTGCTTAGGGCAACATTCACGTTGACAGACACACACACACACACAGACAAACACACACGAACACACACAGAATCGCACTAAAACAAATTTTATTTAAGTTTAACTCACGCTGTCTCTACGCACATTTCTTTTGTTGTCTAAAAGTCTAAAAGCCTTCCAAATTGAGTAGAACTAGAAATAATCATTGTCTGCTGTAGATACCCTTTCAAAATACTAGAAGATTTCTTTGGTTAAGATATATTAGAAAATTAACTAATTTATCATATCAAAACTCAGTTTTTGAAGGACATTTATCCAGTGATCCGATCCAGTCGCCTTCGACATAAGCCACAAAATGATAAACAATCCACTGAGATGCAAACAGATGGACAATATATTGTCGCCTCAGCTTCTCACGCTGATCAAGAATAAACATATATATACTTGATAGACACCCTAAATAGGTGTAGGCTTTCGTATGAAACATATTAAGAATATTATCCAACGTTTCCGCTAGAATTGTAATAATAATAATATATAAAATCTAGCCCTGGGCTTAGGTATTTACACACTTTTGAGTGCCTTATTCAATCCCTGAAAATTTCATAAGAATCGTTCTGCAAACACCGAAGTTATTCAAGGTGCTGTATTGGATAGTGTCTGGCTAATGGAAGAAGAAGCACAGCTGCAGCATAAGCTGCGAACCCTCCCTCTCCCACTCTCACGCTCCCGCTCCACCTCTTTTACATTCCATCGTTTTTACTCTAATAAGAGCACTTGATAATCTTTTCAGACATATTCATAGTGTGAATTCTTGGAGTTTCAGACGGAGTAGAAAACACACACAGTGAGCGAGAGAGAAAGAGAGAGAGAGAGGGGGAGAGGGGGAGGGGGGATAGAGGGCAATACAATAGTCCTTGCCTGACTGTAATTTCTTAGTTAATGGCGCGGCGATTATTCAGCTACTTTCTGTTTGCAATTTGCGGCTGCTGCCAACTGTTGCAAATAGACAGGCAACATACACATGAACACACATATTTGCCGAGCCGCACAGCGAGTGCGAGTGAGAGGCTCGTTAAGAGCATCATTAAGTCGGCGGCTTGGCTCGTCTCCTACCGTCTCGTCCCGCTCCCCCTCGACACGTCTTGTCATTACAATATGGTGAGCAGGAAGCGGGGCGCAGACTTAAAATAAATAAAAACTTCAACTTCAAGTTAAGCGTTTAAGTTGTTTGTTCCTCCGCCTCTTGAGCATTTCTCAACTGCAACATTGTTGCATGGGGCAGACATAATGAACGCCGGCCGCGACAGAGACATGGTATGGGTAGAGGGGGACGCAAATGGAGCGGGAGGGGCAACGAGTGCAATCCGCCTGATGGGCCACACAATATCTGTTTTCTGTGCATGCCAAGCGGCTGTTAATAGATCAGCCAAACAGTGTGAACTAACTGACACAAACATTGAACAGACCGTCAAACAGACAGACAGTCAGTAAGTCAGACAGACAGAGAGGCGGACTGTCGGACGGACTGTCAGCGAATCAGTCCCTGTTCTTAAATGTGACCACAAGTTCGCAGGCTCCGCTAATTTGATTTGTGTTGGGCTCCACTGGATTCGGCTTCCTTTTGAAAGGGTTCTTTTTTTCATTTTTGTCATTTTCTTTCATTTTTCTTCTTCTCATTTTTTGGGGGGATTTCCTTATTACAGATTTCAAGCAAATGTTGTTTATGATAATTGCCAGCGGGCAAAGTACTTAAGGATTTGAGATAATGCTAATTGAGAGTTTTCAGAAGTTTTTAATAAATAACTCTTGCACGGAACTCAAATTGAAAATTAGCGCATTTGTAAGAAGAAATTCTTTAATTACATATATAAAGAAAGACGAGAAAGACGAGAAAGTACACGATTACAGAAGGGTGCGGCACACCGAAGTTTTAGTGCCCTTCTAGACATTTGCTTTACTTGGTAACAGATATGTGCGAGATATTGTGATCTTGGAATCTTGGAAAACGGACGATTAAGCCATAAAGCTCTCGTTATTTTCCCAGGTTTTGTCGAAATATCATGATAAACAGGAAGTTTTTCATACAAAAACCTACTTTTCGACAGATAGTTCCTATAACAACTATATTATATAGTGGTCCGATCCGCTTATATCTACTGCCTGTTATATCTACTGCCTGCAACAGAAGATCATGAGATCATGACTGAGAGACTAGTTCGCAAGGAAACAGACCAACAGAAGAACAGATCGACTTGGCTATATAAACTCTGCCGTTGATGCTGTTCTAGAATATACCATATACTTTATGGGGTCAGAGATGTCTCTTTCAAAACGCCTACCTAATATTCTTTGACATAACATTACAGGTTATCCGCTTAGTTAACTCAAATATATAGATTCTTCTGCTATAGAGTCTTATGCCGACACTTAAAGGAGCTCACATGAGTCTTTATTCTCAGACATTGCACAAATCCAATATAATCTTTCCACTTGGCGAACGAGCATAAAAAAGTCTAGGCTTTAAATATTTTCAAGTATTTGTGGCAGCTCAACTATGAACTCTGCCCAGACATAGACTCAGCTCTCGGCTTAGTTTCGATCATAAATTATGATTTACCAAAGTGGCCGCCCACTGCCCACCTCTTTCCCGCCACTTCCCTCGTCTCTGTGCGTCGCCATCGACAAGTCTCTTTCTCCTGTCACATAAAACATTCAAACTTTTACCAAATTTTTTTTTTTTTGCCAATTTTTGTTTGTGAATTATGCCACAGTTTTTTGTTTCTTTTCTTTATTTTATTTATTTCTTTTTTATCGATAAACTGGTCCTCGGACCACACAGGCGGTTGCACCTCCAGTTGATATGCGACCGCAAGCCTCTGGCACGCCTCCCATTCACTGCACACAATTCGGGCACACTGGCAAATAAAAAACTAGTCTGAAAAATCTAGCCGGGAGGACCTGACTAGGAGATGCCCTTTACATGGAAACCTCGCGGCTGTGTTAATACATACTAATCCAATTTAAAGCGTGATCGAATCAGAAGTTTAACCAGATCGAGCATGTCTTCATAGACTAAGGTCTCGACGAAGCCTCCTACAGTTTGTTACATACCTATGCACAAGCGCATATACCCCCTTTAGCCCAGTGTCAATGGGTTCGGGGCATGCAACAGTATATAGGAAAACAATTCATAATTTTTTCACCATTGTTGCTGGGGTCGGAGTTGGGAGGGAACAGGCCGCCGATTTTAGTGGACTGCCAGAAGACAATTATGCAGCAATAATGTTGCAACTGCAGCAGCGGCAACAGTTGCCGCCAGCTATGCGAGCGATTTGCATGCGCAATGAAAATTTAGTCAGCTGTAAACATTTTATAACGCTGCGTTTAGCTTAAGGGCGAGGTGGGTGCTGAAAGGGGTGGCATGGTTTAAGGGGTGGAGGAAGGGGCGGAAGGTGTGGTTGGGCTGCTCTCAAGGGCAGCGCAGCCAGACCGGAAGGCATGCAGACTGCATGCCACACGCAAACAGAATTTATTTATTTACAACAACAGCAACATCAACAACAACAAGAAGAAGTCGAAAGAAATGTTTAATTAAAATGTCACAGGATAATGAACACCAGCAATGCCTGCCACGCCCACTGCTCATCTCACCGCACCGCGAGAATAATCAAAAACCAATATCAAAGCTGATTTCCAGCTACGTCTCTCTGCTCCATCTGATATTCATGAGCCCCGCTCAAGTCCCGGTCACGTCCTGTGACCCCCCGCCTGCAATACGAAATTTAAATAAATACGCGCGTTGTCCTCTCCAATTTTTACATATTTTTTTATTTTGGAATTTCGTTTTTTTTCCTTGTATTTTGTTTTTTTTTTTTTTTTTTTTGTGGTGGGATGCCACAGCATATTTGGAGTCCATTAACGCGTCCGAGGGGAAACTCGTGTCATAATCACCTTGTTTGTCGGCCGGAACACCTATAATGCCAGCCAGCACACCCGCAGGGTACGACAGGGGAGATGGTGGAGGGAACGGGGGGGGGTGTAGTCGTGCCTGTCGAAATGGCAGTCGTTAAGGCCGGATAATCATTGTCGCCGACACAGCGACTCGAATGGCCCAGAAGCCATCAAATAAACGTAAATTCAATGCACAAAATGACAACATTTTCATTTTGACTTTTCAAACAAAACCCCCCTTACCCCGCCCCCAGCCAACGAACCTAACCCCCCGACCATTGTCCACAAATGGAATTTGGAAATTTGGCAGCTGTCCGGGCTTTTGGCAGCACTTCGAGTGCGACTTTGCCCTGCCATTTGCATATGGCCAATTGGGCAATGTTGACAAGAAGCTGTTCTTGTTCTTCATCTCCCTCTTCTTCTTCTTGTTTTTGGAAGGCAGCTGCAAAGTCAGGCAAGGATCCAAGGACCCAATGATTACGAATTATGCTTATGGCCGGGCTCATTACATACGTAACTCCTGGCCAAATTAAGTGTCGGATTTGAACAGCTGTAATTTGCTTGGTCATAAGAATTTATCATATGGCAAATTTCTCGCTAAGCCCCTGCCCCAACCCGCTCAGAGGAGTTACTTAAAATTCTTACCCTAATAAAGTGTATGTTGCTTTTCTGGAAAACCTAATTATGTTTGCGCTGTGCTTAAATTGTCTAACTAAGTTTTATTGAGAAATATTTTAAGTATTTTCCAAATCAAAAATGTGTTTTACATTAAGAGCATTCCAATATAAAATCTGATATGGACTATGAACTAATCATTCAACTTTAATACAAACTGGAAAAGTTGGATTTGAACCTTCTTCAGTAAATCAACCTTCTGTTGGGTGTTGGAATAAAACTTTATTTTGTTGTTGTTTTAATCGTTACAAATATGGCAAATTGTCATCAACATGATGATGAATCAATAACTATAACTAATATTTATAGGCAACGAACATACATATATATAGTTATATCGTGTGCTTGAGACAATTCAAGTAAAACTTATGCACTTAACTTACGTGTGCCAGTTGTGCGTGTGTGTGAGTGTGTGTGTGTGTGTGTGGGTGTGAGTTAAGGAATGTTCATCTATATTAACTAGTAAATGTTGTAGAATTGTACATGGTGAGTTAGTTAAATGGAATCCGTTCGTTTTAGTTATTGCAAGAGATTCTGCACCAAACGCAGTCGGTCCATAACAAGTTGGCCGCATCGCACGCTCGTCCTTTCTCACTCACTCTTGCTCTCTCTTTCTCTCTCTCAGTCACACTCGCACTCACCCAGACAACTAAAAACGTTGCACATACGACCTGTATGCACGCTAGTTGCTATCCTCGCAATCGCACCCCAATCATCCATTAGCTACGCTGGCAGCTCCAACTGTTTCCCACCTGCTTCACCTGCCACGTGCCACCTGCTTCACGTGCTCCACCACCTTCGACGATGCAGCCAAGTGTTATGCAACTACTTAAAGGACTTTATCATTTGCTTTTGCTGATTTGCATTGTTTGAGTTGTGATTTTTAATGGTGCTGTCGCCTCCATCCTACATCCTCCATCCTCCATCCAGGCCGCCTGCAACCTCGGCGCCTGTCAAACTGTCGTCTGTCTGCCATTTGTGCGCTTAGAGCAGGTAACATTTTCGGCGCCAGCAGGAGCAGGTGCAGTGCACATGGCGGTAATAGCGACAAAGACACTTCAGATACTTGTATCCAGCGCAGCAATGATGCGAGTGCGAATGGGTATGGTAATGGCTGTGCGAATAGCAGGATGCGTCGTGCAGGCAGTACGAGTAGCAGCCACAGTCGCACATCTTGCCAGGATCTCTCACAGGATCTCGCTAATTGTCAAATGTTGAACTGAACGGATTGTTGTTGTTGTGTCTATTTACTATTTCCTTTGCTAGTATTCCTGTTCCTGTTCTCGTCCTAGCGCCTGGCTGCCTTTGGCTGAACTGATTTCTGGCCAACGCTTCGACTTTCAACTTGCCTTAGGTTAGTTGTCCTCGACAGTTGCCCGGGCAACTGCCAATGGCGGCAGCTGTTTGATCGATGCCACACGATTGTTTTGCGTATTTGGGTGGCCAACATTCGTACCACGCCCCAGTAATATCAAGCAGCCCCAAACGAGTCGCTGTTGCTGTTTCTTGTATTATTATAGAAATCATGTCAATTGATTTTTGGGCCCAACTTCGTCTGTGGCTTATTTCGCCTTGCCTGGCACTCGACGGCACTCGAGCTATATGATTAATTCACGATGTTGTCGCTGATTTTATGACCGAAAAATGTTTTATATATTTTTGTATCTGCCGACTTGCCAAAAATAGAAGCCGCCATTGTCGCGTCGCCTCGCGTCGCGTCGCAGCGCCTCGCTAGGCAAATGCAAATTCATGCCTGACCCACATTCGGCGCACATTTGATTCTATTAGTCACAGACAGCTGCCGCCAAAAAATGTATCTCACAGATACACACAGCCAGATGCAGCTGGGATCGTGATGCAATCGATTGCCCCACACACACACGCACGCAAACACATAATCGATGACACATGCAATGACGCGACATTCGCACGCGTCGGCTGCAACTTCCAAGCCGCTGACGTCATTTATAGGCAGGTAATACGCTGCGTATACGTCATTTAATTGATCGCACAATCAACAACAACAACAGTGGAACTGACATCAGTTCCACAATAGGCCCCCGACTGGGTCCAATTAATTCCCGCATAGATTTGTATTGCAGCACTTCAATGAGATCAGTTTGTAAATTTACACCCTTAAAAGTGAGATCATGATCTAGAAATTTTGATCAATCGATGTCATGTTAAGATTAGGAGACTACTTCGCATCAGTATGCAATGTCAACAGTTTGCCAGTTTCCTCAATGATCTTCTATTCATTAACTACTCGTAGTCCGATCAAAAATGAGATCATGATCTTTGCTGATCTACCAGTTGCAATTTCAAAGGTTTAGCGTTGATCCACAACAAATATATAGAGCCGATTAGCAGTGAGATGGAGAGATAGATAAGTGATCCCAAGTGATCGTGAAAAGATAAACAAAAATATAGCGGCTGTTCTTTTCATGATCACTTGGGATCACAATCGATCGAGACAGCCAGAACAATTAGATAGACAAGTGATCCCAAGTGATCATGATCGCAATTAATCGAGTCAGTCAGCAAACGGGTTGCACAGATAAGTGATCCCAAGTGATCATTAATAGATCTAAGAAAAATATAAGAGTTTATCTATTCACAATCACTTGGGATCACAAATGATCGAGGCAGCCCGAAAAATATATAGAGCACGATCACTTGGGATCTGGAATCTAGGATGCTGGCTGTCTTCATAGACGTGCTTATTTAATTTCTATAATTCAGATGAGATCATTTACGCGAACTGCGCTGCAGACTTAGATTCTGATCTTGTTGGGTGATCATCAAGTTGCTGCATTAAAAACAAATTTTACAAGTCTAGCATGAATCAACAAATAATATTTAGCAAGATCGTTAAAGATCATTATCCAATAATAAAAGTCTGGCTATAAGTTGCTGCCTTAGCTGGATAAGATAACTGCCTAGGATAAACCTTAAAGCTAGATAACAACTCTTTAATAAGTTGGTTTATTTAGACGATTTTTTCCTGCTGAATTTTGAAAATGTTTGTTGCGTGACAAGTCTTAGGGCCAGGCAAAGATTTGAGCCAGCGAACAGTTTTACTAGGCTTTAACCCAAAGTATCAATGATCGTTTTTTGATCAGTTTGCTGGGCTAAGTTCATTATTGCGCTCGTAAAAGAAAATCAAAGTAAGCAAAAGTTTTTCAATTAATCTTAAGGGCAGTGCTGACAACTCTCTCCCAATTACAGCAGCTGTGTCTGTGTGTGTTGAGAAGTTGGTAAAAGATCAGCGATCATTTACAATTACAAATTCGTCTGGTTATCTTTTAATGGGCTGTGCCCCTTTTTAATGAGTTTTTATTGAGCTAATTTGCCGGACTGTGGCAGTTGCAGTTGCAGTTACAGAAGCAGCTGCGTGTTTGTTATCTGCTGGCGGTGGCAATATAGCCGTGTTGCAAGCTCATTAAAGTCACCGCTTGCGATTGGAGGACACGTAATGCAGCTTTAAGGCCATGGGCAGAGAGTTTCTTTTTCAGCTAGGGGCAGTGCAACAGCAACAGGGGCACTTACAGCGACAGAGTGAGCGAGGGGCAACTCGTAACCGTGTGCGCTGCTTGAAGTGTCCTTGTGCGCTTAAAAGTCTTTCGACACGTATTCGCATTGGCAAAAGTTTGTCAGCCAAAGCCAAAGCTGGTTAAAATGAAGAGCGAACTGTGTGCGAGAGCTTGAGTTTTTGGGTTCGAGTCTGAGTTTGAGCTGCAGGTGAAGTGGCAGCAGATGTAGAAATTTGCAGGGGTCGCACTATGGAGTGCAAGTGCATGGCTTTTGGCCGTTTAGTTCAAGTTGTTTCAAGTAACACTTGAAGGACAACGGGGCGACCCAACGACCAAACGACTCGACCATGTGCACTAGAAATTGGGCTAGGAATGGGGCATGCCACAGGGCCATGCTACAGAGACAGAGACAGGACGGAAATGCCGGCTGTCACTATGTGGCAAATAATGGTGTTGCGTGTCGTATTGGCCACCACAATATGATAACCAACTAAATTTGAAACAAGAGCAACAATAACGACAGCTGACTTTTGCCCGAGTCCAGTGTCGGGGGAAAAATACAACCAAAAACAAACAAGAAAGAACGGAGATTAAATGCCCTAGAGAGCACAAGGCTTACGTGCTGACAAATATGTGAGGAGTATTGTTGCGAAAGCTTTAGAAAATTCGATTCATATATCAGGAAATGTTCAGACTAACTAATGTCAAATTTGGTTGAGAACTTTTTTTAAATTTTATTGTAGTCCGACGTTGTTAACATTTAGCTTATAAATAAGGATTACAAATAACCAAAAAGTTGTTCATAAAGTTGTTCATAAAAATTCTTCAAATAAACACAACATAGCAAAATGATGTTGTTATGATTTGGTAAGGAATATGGTAAAACTGAAAAAGACCGAGGTTTCTATACAAGGTTTCTATACAAAACCTCGATCGCCTATTCCTATATAACCTATCTGCTAAAGTCGTACGTTTCGGAAGATTCCAATTTATGAACTGACAGCAAGAAAAGCTTTAAGACTGAGAGGCTAGTTGGACAGACGAGGAGGTGGGTCTGGCTATAATAGCCCGGCTGTCGAAACCTACTAAGAACATATATATCTGATTGATCAAGAGCATATAAGGTCACACTTCGCGGCATATTAATGTTACCCTTTTGAAAGGGCACAAAAAGAAAGAAACTTCCTCCATGCGGCTGCGGCATTCTCTGGCGATTGCGAGTTTGCAACCTCGTGAAAAGCGTAACTGACACTTAAATTAAATTTGTTTTCATTTTGGCCCCGACAGAAAGTCAACGCGACACTTTCGGGTTCGGGGCCAAGAAATCAGCGCAAAACACAAAAACCGAAAATGCATTTCGCAATAAAATAAATTAAAACGAAAGCAAAGCAAATTTTCTACACCGAAAGTTGCCCAAACTCAACGGGGCGTGCGATGGGAACTGCCAAACTGCCATGGCGAGGGGTGGCAAGGGACAACAAGGGGGAGGGGGGGGGGGGGGCATAGCCAACTGATGACTTCGTTTGCCCCACAGCCAACAACCAAAGTGAAAAGACTAACCGAAACAGCTTGTGACGCCGTGTGCCGTGTGCCCTGTGCTGTTTGCTGCTTGTTGTTTGTTGTGAATGTGAACCGAGACGCCCCCTGGCGGACAGAATTGTCGACACACAAGTGCGCGTACAGTCGAATGGGTTGATAATCTGCATACAGAACATTTCTTGGTGACTTTCAAAGCGTTTGTAGTTTTAATTTGATTGGCCCTCGATAGTTGAATTTATGCTGCTGAAAACTTAACAACTGTAACTGAAGCTTAAATAAATTTGTAAATTTGCGATAAATCGACGAATGAATGATTACAGCATTAAGCCCGACCTTTATCTGACTTTCTAGCATATCGGAATATTATTAATTGTCTTTGGGAAAATCACTCGATTTATTTCAAGCAAGCAAAAATAAAAGATCTGTTAGTGCTACTTCATCCAATATATTGATTCTCTAGAAGTTTATCGATAACAGCTTTGTAATCCACTTCTATCGAAATCGTCTGGTACATAAACATAGAAATAATTTTCTATTGGGCAGCACTTAATTCAATTTATGCAAAGCAAAACAAAAGCTTTGTTAGTGAAATCTAATCAATTGTTTAGTTATCGATAGGTAATTAGTCCCGTTAAACTATTTAAGATAAATACGTGAATTAATCGAAAATATCTTAGTAAATTGATCGACAACAGAATTATTATAATATTGAAAACTTATCGACATTTTATAACTTATCTACTTCGATGCAGTTGCACTTTTTGGAGACTTTGGTGTCTTTAGCTTTAATTTGAGAAGTATTCGTGAGCTAACTAATTAGAAACTTTGATAAATACTCAATAAATTAATCGATGATAGCTTCGATATGCTATATATATTATTAGGAATGTGTCTATGTTCAAAGAAATTTCAATTTGTATCAAAATTTAAATCGTCGACACATTTCTAGTAGTCCTATGAGTAATATGGCAAAGAAACGCCAGTGTATGGCATCATATGGAAATATGTTGGGAAATATGTGGCTGCTTGGCTTGTGGATGCACCACTAAATGCTTCAAAACGTCAACAATGCTGCCAACAGTCCCGCCCCAGCAGTCCCTGGCATCCCTGGGATTTATTCAGACTCCACCCAGCGCTTGCTCGTGTCCATGTCCGATGCCATATTGTGTTCAAGCCAAAGCGATTGCCCACCGCATTTAGCTGTGGATCGGGTGGGCAATCGGGGGGTTATGGTGTTGCCGGTCATGTTGGATTTTCCAACGTTTGTTTCGCACAAAATTCTTGCTTCCTCTCGCATTTATTGTCGGTTGTTTTCTTTTTTTATTTTTTGTAATTTTCTTTTTTTTTTTCGAATTTGATGTGTGCGGGGCTGGAATGCGCCGTAGGGTGAGGGGAAGGTGTGAGAGGAAAACAACCA